ATTTTTTGGAATGTTTAAGGACTTATTTAATATATTTTGGAATGTCCAAGGACTTATTTGTGCCAAAAAATTGTCCAAGGACTTATTTAACATGTTTTGGAAAGTTTAAGGACTTATTTGTTCCAAAAAAAAGTTCAAGGACTTAATCATTCCAAACAAGAAAGTTCATTGGTTTTTATTGTACTTTTCCCTATGGAAAATTATATTCTTTTTAATTATTGCTTTAAATTAAGAAAATCTTTGAATGAAAATGCATTAAATAAAAAATAAACTTTTTAACTAAAAAATTAAATTACATTAACAAATATAGTAAACGTAGAATTCTAAATAAATGTCTTAAATAATTTTATATAAATAAATAACATTATTACAAGTTAAACAATTTTATACAAATTAGTTTTATATAACATCTTTGTGGTAATCATCAGATCCAATCCCAAACACAAATCGAAGGTTAAATTAGGAAATATAATTTTGGTAATTTTAACTTAAAATATTAATTAAAGACATTTTATAAATATTCTCTCTCATCTCTCTTCTTTCTCTCTCCAGCGAATCGTGTTTGACGAACATTATTCAAATGAACTTTATGTGAACACAAGATACAGATTGTGATACCTACAAATGATATTTATTGTGATGCCCAGATATACATACAAGATGCACAATGTGATACCCTTTGTAAAGCAATAAAAATAACGAAAATGCACATTATGACACATTTCATAAAACAAAAAAAATACATTGTGATACACGTGAAATATTGTGAACGTTATCATTATGATACACTTTGATTTGCAAATGCCTTTAAAAGACTGTGAATTAGGTAATTGATATACTAGGTTACTAATTTTAATTAAATATTTTCTTCTAAAAAGTTTAATTAAATATTTTTATTAGTTGTCAAAAATAAAATTACTATACTACCATTTTAGTTTATTTAAAAATATCCTTAAATATCATAAACGAGTGGTTCACATTGGATCTCACAGTTAACACAAACGAATCAGGTCTCCCTTGGATAGACCCCTATATAGGGGGGGGGTGTGTGTGTGTATAGAGCCGACTCATATGAAAATGATATATATTTAAGAAAAAACGAATCACATTTGATTTTACACTAGCATCACGTACAAAATTACATATAATTCATGTGACCTTGTCATGCAGCCATAGGGCCGCCGGCATAATTTTTATCGTTGATGTAAAATCACATGTGATTTTGTATGTAATTTAATCATTATTTTATTTTATTAAATAGGTATTATTGTTGTATGAACTTACCCCCCTCTCTCTCTATATATATATATATATAGAGAGAGAGTTCATTTATTATGATTTGAATATTTATGGAAGATGAATATGATTCATTAATTATGATCAATACTTTATATTAGCAAACAATCAAAATTTTTATGAAATCATATATTAATCAAATGAAATAGACTATTGAGATCGAATTGTATTAATTGTTAAATGTCAAAGTTTGTATAATAACCCAACCCCTCTCTCTCTCTATATATATATATATATTCCTTAAAATATGGGTCACACTGAAGCAATGGTCAACACCCACCAACCTATAAGAGCCATGTTTGCCGTGCAATGCAACAAATATGTTAATTTTTCCCATTAACAACTCCGCCATCTCTTTCTCTCTCACAATATCCTTGTAAATATAACGCCCGACAGTAATATATATACATACATATACCTGTATCGATATATTTCCATTTGCCATCTCTCACTTTGTTAGAGTTATAGAGAGAGATGGTGTGGTTTGGGTGTTGTATTGTGTTACTAGTGGTGGTGGGTGGCGGCAGCACAGCGGTGATGGTGGAGGGAGCAAACGTGAGTTACGATGGAAGGTCTCTTATAATTGATGGACAACGCAGGATTTTGTTCTCGGGTTCGATTCATTATCCTCGAAGCACCCCTGATGTATGTATATGTATATAATTTATCTCTCTCTCTTTCCCTATAGTTACAACCACACTTTTTAATTATCATTATGTTTTTTGTAACCATGGATGTTTGTTCCAGATTCCATACAACCACAACTAATTCTATGTTTATGGGATTCTAAAGTCAGAAAACTCTTTAATTAATATATGGCTTGATAAAACTTAAAATGATGACTCGTAAGAACAAAGCAATATCTTATTTATTATTGTGTTTCTTGTATCTAGATCAACTCTCATATCTTGCTATAACCATGTAGGGTGGCATTAGCGATCTCCATTTTATGCACCAAAAACGACGTTGTTTTTTAAATTTATTTTTTTATGTTTGTGTTTCTTTCGTTGTAAAAAAATTGTAACTTTCACAGAAAAATATAATTAACTTACCGGCACATGATTCATATTTAAATATCTTGTAATTTTTGGATTATACGGCCAACTTCGTGAGAACTGAACTTTTACATAAAAAAGACCAAACATTTGTATGAAAAACATACCGTAAGTTATAATATATGAAATAATATATGGTCACATATTTGAATAAGAACAAATTAAACTCCATACGCTTGCGAAATATAAAATATATAATAATCATATATTTGAATAATAACAAACTCCATGCTTACGAAATATATATATAAATGATCATATATTTAAATATGGACAAACATTATATACAATCATATATTTGAACAAGAAGAAACTCAAACTCTATATGTTTACGTAAGATACATATGTATATATAAAATATATATAAATAAAATATATATTGATTAATTTGAATAAGAACAAACCCCACATGCTAAAAACTAGGACCTGTTTGAAAACAAGCTGTCCGGTTATGTAAATTTGGTTTTACGTGTTGTTTGTTGTTTCCAATGGTTAATAAATAGACTAAATTATGTTTTTAGTCTTTATAGTTTGTTGAAATTTTTTATGTCTGTCTTATTATTTAGAAATTACAATTTTTATTCTTTAGGATTATGATATATTATCTTTTTTGTCCTTAAAATTTAAATTTTTTTTTTCATCCATATGGTTTATATTTCATTTCTGTTTTTATTTTTCATATTTAAAAGTAATGTTTTGACTTTAGGAAAGAAAATAGAAATGAATTCTAAACCATAGAAATAAAAACTCGAATTTCAAAACAATAAAAATGAAATCCACAATTTTTAATAAACCACATGGGATGAAAAATATGATTTACTCTAATTGATAATTATGAGGATAGAATTTGTGTTCATAATTCGTTTGAAATTAAAGGCAAAATATTTTTACTTTTTTGTAAGTTTTAAACCCATAACTAACGTATATAATTGAGTTATATCTCTACTGGCTAATTTAATTGCCATCCGTTCCTGTATAAAATGATGTAAATTTTGATATAATTGGTAGTTAGTTCTTATTCAACAGCCAATTAAAATCATATTTTACATTAAAATTGTATCTTTTTTTTGTTAGCTCTTATTATTTAAATTTTCTGATAACACTTTTAGAATTTACTAACCTTAATCAATATATTTTTGTTGTTGTTACGTACAATAACTTAATAAATATGTATTATTATAATTAATATGAAACTGAGAAATGTTAATGTATAAAACAGACATTTCATATAATAATGAAAGCTACAATATCACACCCACACAAAAACTAATGATATGCATTTTAAAGGTTGAGATTACTATATATCTATAAATGATCAATTATATTGCTATGCATTACAAGAATATAAATGACTGTGTGAGAAGAAAATTTATGAGAGATGTAAAAAAGATTTAAGCACTTGATCACTTTTAATCTTATGTCCATTCATGAATTGCGTTTTAAAAAGGAATTCATTTTGTGCATTTTGGTGCACCTCATTAGTGTTGGTATTCAATTAAGATTGATCTAAGAGTGGAGATCACTTCTTACTCTTCTCATAATAACTTCCCTTTTCACCGAAACCCAACTCTAAAGGACTAAACTATAAAATTCCAAACCACACTTGAAGGCAGCATATTTCCCGTTTTTATAGGACTTCTGTACAACAATGGTATCTCCAATTATAATGTCTGATCTTAAAAAGTTACAATATGTTTATATATCGTTTTTTTATATTGTAACAAGTTTTTTAGAATACTTTTATAAGAAAGTGTCGTATTATCTATTTTATAAGACAATTTTGATAAGTTTCCTACAAACATGTTTTTTCATAAGACGGTTTTCAAATAGTATCATATAAAATAACTAATGTGGCATTTATTATTTCTAAAAGAACATCCTAAAAACTTGTTAAAACGTCTCAAAACGCCTATAACCTATTATAACACTTTTAAATATGACCATTTTTCTTTAAATCTTATGAAAAAAATATTATTTAAACACTTGTACATTTTAGAGGTTTTATAAAATTAATTTTGTTATAATGATATTTTCATAGAGCAGTTTTCAAGAAATTTCACATAAAATTAATATGATAGTCTACTTATTAAACCTCTTAACTTGTCTAGTTTCCTCCTAATCAATAATTTATATAATTTAGAAAGATGTAAGTTATTGGATTATTCAACTTTAGTTAATAACTTACATTATAACTTATTTGTTTGCAGATGTGGCCATCTTTGATAGCTAAAGCCAAGCAAGGTGGTTTAGATGTCATACAAACCTATGTGTTCTGGAACCTACATGAGCCACAACCTGGCCAGGTCTATGATCACAAACATCCACGCACGTGCTATTCACATGTTACCAATACCAACTCAAATATATACACATATAAAGTTTGTATGAGAACAAAGGCCAAATAAGATAACACAATGTGTTTTTATGCTAAAATCATGTATAAGAATCACATAGGTCCTGCATTAAGTCGCATGTTCACCCTTTTATGGACCGTATTCTGTAATGATATGTTATTTTAGTCCAAAATTAACATGTGGTTTGATCATCTTCGTGTTTTCTTATTTTGACTAGCTTCACGTTTGATTCTCCCTCTACATATACAATAGTAGGTTCAAATAAGAATGTTAAACATCGTAAGAATCGATTCAGGGAGGTTCAATTCATATGTGAATCATTGAAAAACATATGTATTTAAAGATGCATATGTGAACCCATATTAATAATCCGTAATATAGGATCACATATGTATCTACAAATAGATTTGTTTTTCAGATATATAATCCTTTCTTTAACATTCTGTTTTTTTACTTCTAGCGATATTTAACCTTTTTATTTAAACCGACCCTATATTTATATACACATATGTATATGTATGTACTAACTACATATTCTATTGATTATGTGCACATATGTATATGTATGTACTAACTACATATTTTATTGATTATGTGCAGTACGATTTTAATGGAAGAAATGACATAGTAAGCTTCATTAAACAAATTCAAGAACAAGGTTTGTATATAAGCCTTCGAATAGGACCCTTCATCGAGGCCGAATGGAATTATGGGTGCGTACAATCTCTTACAGCTCTAGATTCGGCAGTTTCTCTTCATGATAATTTTTAAAAATTATATAATAATTATATATGGCAAATAGTTACTCACAACCCTTAATTTAGTGAGGTTCCTTTTTAGCTCCTGGGAGGGCGGAGATTCCCCGCTTTTGAAGGTAACGGGGCTAGGAGAGGATCTATTTTCATACCTGAAGCGGGGGTTGGGGATGACACTGCCGCTCCTAATCGGAACTCGATTAAACTTTTATTTTGTTAAATATATGTGTATAGGAAGAGTTTTAAACAAGAACACATTTGTTTTATGAAAATGGAAGAACATTTATGCACCTCCAAATTATTTAACCCGTAATTAAAATTACAAGAAAAAAAGGTAAATAATTAAGGATAATAATGTGATTTCATATCCATAGGGTAATATATACTGACGCCTTCACATTATCCCTAAAGTCATGTATATATAGATAATATATTCATCGATCACAACATTATCACATCATTATTACAGCAAAATCACATCATGAGCGGACAACGCGATGATTGTGCACGAGATCAACATTGATTTTCGATAGTCACGTCATCACAACATTATTATCACAATAAAACCACATCATTATCCTAGAAAAATTACATCACAAGAATTGTTTGATTCATTAAAGCATTACCACATTGTTATCACAACAAAATCACATCATAATCACAACACTAATGACAAAAGAGGGATAAAAACAAATTTGAGATAACAGAAAATTGTTGATAAATACTACCTTATTTTTCATTTATTCTAATCTTTTATGGTATTAAATAATCTAGAGACCCAAAGTGTTGATGAATTTTCATAAAACAGAGGTGTTCTCATTTGAACCCTCGCCTATGTGTATATATGTACATATTTATAAATCTTTATATAACTATACAAGAAATATATTTGGTTTTCAATATCCGTAAACAATTTAGTGATTATTTATTGTAATTTTCATTTTAAAATACAATGTCCTTTATTGTATTTTACTAAAACGGGTGTCATAAACCCGTCGGAGATTCCTTCCTCACTAACCCGTTGGGGATTAGTCGGGTGCGGGGTTCAAGACGGGGGCTTAAACTGGGGTTGGGAGATGCATTACCCGCACATTACCGGTCCTTTTTTCATCTTTACTGGGATGCATAAAATCTTCATTCTTTCCTTAAAGACTCTCTAAAAAAATAATATGATTGGTTTCTACATACTTATCTACAAAATCATTAACTATGCTTTTTGTCTTGTAGAGGTCTACCATTTTGGTTGCATGATGTCCCTGGCATTATCTTCCGAACCAACAACCAACCATTCAAGGTAAAAACACTTTTGACCATCATATATAGTCAAACCGACTGATATTTGATATCGATCGAAAGAATCATATTTATTTAATCCAAAAAAGTCCACATCAAAATCCGAATGAAACTAGTTGTTTGTTTGTTTCATTGTTTGACATGAGAAAGTGAAAGGGTGAAAATTGTTGTGGTCAATTCAGCGTCACATGCAAAACTTCACAACCAAAATAGTGGACATGATGAAGGCAGAGAAACTGTTTGCTTCACAAGGAGGCCCAATTATTCTATCACAGGTCTGCAGCTTTGTTGTTTTTTCCTATCATATATTTTTAACTATATAATATTTATACATAACAACTTAATATTTATATGTATTTTTCACTTTTGACGCTATAATATTAATAGAATAGACATTTCCTAAGTGTTATTTAAGTTTATTTTAAAATAACCCTTCATTTTTGAAATTGAGTGAGATGTCTACTTTCTCAATTTATAATTATGGGATAGAGAAAAGTTTTATTTATGTAACAAGGGTAAAATTATTATTTTGTTAATTAAAAAACAATCCTAAAACTATGAATTTTTTCGTTATGAACATTTATTTAATTTGAGATGGACAAAGTATTTTAGGATGCACGTATGTCTTAATAATAGAGTACTTAATGAGACTTTTTAATTTTGGAGCAAAAAACATACATTTTATCACTAAAGACGTTACAACTCACAATATTAGTTGTTAGGATAAAGTTAGACGACTTAACAAGTTCTATTTACAAAGTTGGGCAACTGAATAGAATAAAGAAAGTAAATCATCCTATTAAACTTTTGAAAAGTGTCCTATATATGAAAGGTTAGTAGCATATTTTTCACAAGTGTTATAAAAATGTTAATCGGGCGATTTACTTTTTGCGTCTTGTTAGCTAGGTTGTCCAACTTCATTCATAATGTTTGATAGCCAACCTAACTTCTCCAAAACAATAGATTGTAACGTCTTTAAACATGACACATAATTATTGGTCTAATATTAGAACACTTAAAAACTGTTGGACATTCTAAAATACCAATTTCGTTGTATTGTCTTACCACCGGCTGATATGAACCATCTGGCCATTTTTATGAGTTCTGTTGACTAGTGATGAACAAAAACTTGGATGTAAGGTAGATCGAGAACGAGTATACAAGCATTGAAGGAGCATTTCACGAAGACGGACCAAGATACGTCAACTGGGCCACAGAAATGGCGGTCGGTCAAAACACAAGTGAACCATGGATGATGTGCAAGCAAGACGATGCACCTGATCCTGTGGTTTGTCTCTTAACCACTCCCTCATTTACACACACTACAATAAAATCGGGTTTATAGGATGACAAAAAAATTTAAGCGTCCTAATAGACTATTTCATTGGACACAATTTCTAAGACCAAAAAATAAAGAGTCTTAGGACGCTTTTTGATGTTTTAACAAGTTTTTAGGACATTTTTAATACAAAATGTCTCATTAGCAACTTTATAGGACACTTTCTTAAAAGTGTCTTATAAAATTGTTAAATACGATGCTTTGTGTTAAAAATGCCCTATAAAAATATTACACCGCCTTTAGATAATACGCTTTAGTTTTTGGTCCTATAAAACTCCTTTAAAACGGTCTATTAGGATGCTTAGAAATTGGTGCCGTCGTATAAACCCAATTTTGTTGTAGTGACATTTACTTTTAAGCACTCCTCTTGTGGCGCGTATCATGCCATGACCTAGTATGGTTTTTGTAATGAAATATTCTATTTTTCTTACCTTTTACCATCTCTTTCTTGGTTTTTAATATATAACCTAATTTAAATTGTTTAAAATCATTGAATGATAGTAGAAAACATATACTTACATACATAATATTATATATGATATAGAGATTTGTCTTCATAAATCACGCCTTGAAAAACGTCATGGTCTCATCATGTCTCCTAAAGTGTGAGGCTTGCCCTCTCACTACCGTTTAGAATCTTGCTTTTACGGTTAAATTAACATATGGGGCATGCAGATCAATACTTGCAACGGGATGAGATGCGAAGAAACATGGAGGGGCCCAAACTCTCTGAAAAAGCCTTCACTATGGACCGAGAATTGGACTTCTTTGTAAGCATGCAATTTAGAAAAAGATGATTTAAAGTGTGAGAACATGTGGAACTCGTTAACTTATTCTTCAAAAGAACTATTGAAGAGAGAGGTGTTCCTACAATATATTAAAAGAAAAGGACAAAACTGATATTGGAGTCTCATATTCCAATCTTTACTAACTAGCTTATCTGTTGTTGAAGCTTACAAGCGTATGGAGAGAACGCACTCGTGAGAAAACCCCAAGATCTCGCCTTCCATACAACACTATTCATCATAAAGATGAACGGAAGCTTTGTAAACTACTATATGGTAATATACATACGGTTATATATATATATATATATATATATATATATATATATATATGGTAGGATTCAGTGAGGATGAGAGTCAATGTGAAAAGCGAAAGAATAGATTTTCACCCTTAAATATATTAGGATGAGATGTACCAGATCAATCCCCGTATCAAACACCTTTCATGGATGAGTTTGAGATTAAAGTTGATCAATGGTCCAGATCCTTTCATTCTTACGTTTCTCACCTTAACTTTTCTTCTCACACGATCATTTGCCTATCTATTTCTCTCTCTCTCTCTCTCTCTCTCTCTATATATATATATATATATAGAGAGAGAGAGAGAGGGGATGTTTCAAATGCAACTTATTCCATATGCACAATTAATGCAAACCAATCAATTGAGATATTTATGGAAATGATGAGAATTTAGTTATTATGATTTGAATACTTATAGAAAATACTTAAAATTCATTAATTATGATCAACGCTTTATATTAGGAAACAATCAAGATACTTATGAAACAACATATTCAATAGATTAAATGAACGATTGACATTGGATTGCAATGGTTATATAAATAGGATATAAGAAAGATAAAAAGGTTGAGAAAATAGTCATAAATGATTCATATGTGAATCATTCGCAAAAGGAAATTTCGGTTTACATATGCATTTTTCATAGGTGAATAATTGGAAAAAAGGGAAGGTAGATTCATATATATATCTTCAAATGATTTTTTTTATTCAAGTCTACCAATTATTCACTTATGAATAATTTACTTTATGCATTCTCAACCTTTTTGTCGTTTATTCGACCACTTTCAGTATGTATATATATATATATATAAATGTTTGTCTTTTTGAAAATTAAACGCAAGTGAACATCTTCCAAATCCTATGACAGTACCATGGGGGAACAAACTTTGGACGGACGGCTGCATCTTATATCATAACGGCTTATTATGATCTAGCTCCTCTTGATGAATATGGTATAATCAGACAACCAAAATACGGCCACCTCAAGGATATGCATGCAGCAATTAAGCTATGTTCACAGGCGTTACTCTATGGACAGTTAACGATTGAAAATTTGGATCAAAATCAAGATGTAAGAATTAATAATGGCTTCAATTTGTTGTTTACATTAATGTATGGGTTTTCTACGTATAAGTTTGATGGTAATATTTTTGGTGGGTATAACGTACAGGCGTATGTCTACAACATAAGTTCAGGTGAATGTGCCGCTTTTCTTGTTAACAACAGTAGCAGAGAAAGTGTGGTCGTTTTTCGGAATTCCACATACAGTTTACCATCAAGGTCGATTAGCATTTTACCTGGCTGCAAAACTACAGCCTTCAATACTGCCATGGTATGCTTCTTAAATCATCACAACAAAAACGGCTTTATAGTATGTAAAAAAAGTGTCAATGTCTTAATTAAACTGCTTTATAGGAGTAAAGTTTATATGATAAAACAATCGTGCATCATATGTGACACTTTTAAATAAGTTGTACTAATTTTTTTCTATATAACATTTTTGAAAAGTGTCTTACGAACATATCTTTTTATGATATGCTTGTTTTTATAACACATTTTTCCAATATATCATGTCGTATAAAAAATTAATACGATGCTTTATTTTAAGAATCATAAAAGATTTGATGAGACACCTAAAAAATTAATACAATGCCTTATTGTAACGTTTTTACATAAAACACATAATTGTTTGGTCACATAAAGTTTTATATAGCAGTTTATTATTAAGACAGTTAGGGGCTATTTGGTTGGTTTTATAGGGTCCTGTATGGATAAAGCTGTATGTGAACATTAATTTGTTTTTATATAGGGAGGGTTTCTTCATAGATGGATGAACATGTTTTTTAATTGGGAGGAGCATGTTTGGAAAAATTTGGCTTTCTAAATAAAACTTTTCCTTAGAAACCTATTGAATAAGTCATTTTCTATATTGTTAAGCCACTATCAATAGTTATCTATAACTGATTAAATAAGTTGCAGGTCTCATTAAAGTTATTAAGCTATTAACAAATAGGCCTTTAAACATTTTTAACTTCCTATACACCCGATTTTGTTTTAGTGAATGGTAACAAGAGGAATTAATATGTGAGATAAAATTATTGTTTCTGAACTTAACAGGTAAGCACACAAGTTAGTAAGCGATCAATGCAGCCGATCACAAGATTTGATTCAGCTCAACAATGGGAGGAATTTCGTGAAGTTGTTCCTCAATTTGACCAAACCAAATTGAGGTATGATGGATTGCTAGAACAAACAAATGCTACTAAAGATACATCCGATTATCTTTGGTACACTATCAGGTAACGTTCAATCACTACAAAAAGAATTGGTTTTTTATTACAAGTGTCTTAATGGATTGTTTAATAAGACAAATAATTGTGCATCCGATATAAATATGTTATGAGAACTTGATATAATGTTTTTGGTCGTTCTAACAAGTTTTTAGAACAATTTCAAAATAAAATGTTATAATAATCTTTTTATATGATTTTATTTAAAAATGTGTCTTATAAAACAAGTATTCGTTCACAACAACAAAAACGGGTTTATATAGGACACTTAAAAATCTAAGCTAATACCATGTTTTATTGAACTTAAGTTTATATGACTAAACTATAAAGCATATCATCTAAAAGTGTTACAAAAAGTTTATAAGATGCTTTTTCGGTGTTTTAATAAATTTATAGTACGTTTTTGAAATAAAGTGTCGTATTAGTTATTTTATAGGACAATTTTGAGAAGTATCCTATAACCCCATTTTTTATAGAACACTTTTTTGAATAATGTGGTATAAAATAACTAATGCGAAACTTCATTTTTAAAAGCGTCATAGAAAACATGTTAAGAAGTCCAAAAACATCCTATAAACCAATTGTACCACATTTATATCCAACACTTTTTTGTTTTGTCCTATAGCATTAAGTCCTAGAAAACATTCTATTAGGATTTAGGATGTTTAGACGCCCTAAAAACCTAATGTTGTTATAGTGTCTATAAAACGATATAGTTAATAATATGATATTTCTTAAAAGTATCATGTAAAAAAATTAATAAATTAAAAGTTATCTAAAAAACTTGTTATAATCCTGGTTAATATTTTGTTATAACATTTTTATATATAAAACATACGGTTATTTCCTTCTAAATCCTATAATCAAAGGAGTATAATTATAATATTTGACTTGTAGAGCGAATTTGTTGTAGTTTTGCTTTCATTCGAGTAACCAAAACCAAACTTGAAAGGGCAAAAATTTTCCCTCATCAACCAACACCAAATTCCATCTTTGTGAACGTGTAGGATGCAGCAGAACTCCTCAGAAGCTCAGTATACTCTAAGAGCGAATACTCGTGGACATGTTTTACGTACGTATGTTAATGGAGATCTCGTGGGTATGAATTAATATGTGTATATTGTATGTTTGTTAACTTGCACTCTATTGAATTGATATCTCTCTTTTGATCATATGGATTGATCGAAAATCTTGTTTCTAAACCTGCGTTTAGATTCTGCACATGGAAACCGTAAAGTTTCAAATTTCACATCCGAAAGCACCATTTCTTTATCAACCGGAATCAACAACATTTCCTTCCTGAGTGTAATGGTTGGATTGCCGGTAAGTGTCGAATTCAGTAGGTAAAGAACATAAGGAATTGAAGAAACGTTAAAAACAAAACTGTGTATACAGGATGTCAAAAATGTCATAATACTAGAATGTTTTATATGATATAGGTTTATGGAACCAAAAACTTGTGTGTCAATATGTAAAGTGTTACATGTAAGTTTATAACATGTTTTTGGACGTTTGAAAACAACAAAATATGGTGTACAGGACTCCTAAAGTGTTAAAGCATCCTAATAGAGTACCTTAGGACTTCATTTTATAGGACAAAAATTTGAAATGTCTTATCAGTGTTACAATAAGTTTATATGACGTTTTTATGTGTCGTAACAAGCTTTTTAGGATCTTCTAAAATAAAGTATCGTATTAACTAATTTTTAAGATGTGTCTTATAAACCCATCATTTTATATGACATTTTTTATATAGTTTACTATAAAATAACTAATACGTTTTTATTTTAAAAAGGTTCTAAAACCTTGTTACGATGCCTAAAAGCGTGCAATAAACTTATTGCAACACTTCTTCATAAGACGCTTTATTTTTTGATTCTATGAACTTGTCTTATAAGATACTATATTATAATATTTAAACAATTTAAACGTCCTATAAACATAATCTTGTTGTAGTGTTCTTAATAAATTTTTTAGAATTAATGATTTTGAAATAAAGTGTTCCTATTAATTTTTCGTGCAACATTATTTGATATAGTCTCTTATAAAATTGAATTTCCTATAAAAATGTGTTCATAATATATTTCTCAAAAGTATGTTATAAAAATCAAATATAACACTATTCAAAAGTGATCTAAAAAGCTTCTTAAGACGCTTAAGCATCATATAAATTTATTGTGACAGCTTACATAGAAAGTAAAATTGTTTGGTTATAAAACAACAAACAATTTTGACCTCATATAAACCAGATTTTGCAATAGTAAAAAAAGTACTATCAATACTGATTGTTGGATCCAATGAGTTGTGAAGGATTCAGGAGCTTATATGGAGAGTAAACGTGCAGGGTTACATGAGGTGCTGATTCAAGATGTCAACATCACAAGCTACTCATGGGGATATCAGGTATGCCATGGCAGCTAATTTAATTATTTTCTTAGAGGCGAATGTTTATATGTGAATTAATGAGATTTTGTTAATTGAAAAAGGTGGGATTGGTCGGAGAGAAGTTATCGGTTTACAATGAAGGCCCGAGTAACATCTCATGGAGCCAGTACTCGTCTCCTCATACCCTAACATGGTACAAGGTGAGCCTATCGGAGCGCAATGTGCTAGTGTGATTACCCTATACTATTTGGCTAGAGTCAAAAACATAATTGTGTGTCCATATAGAGTGGTTTATCAATCTTACGTTTGTTAGAACAAATAATTGTGTGTCATTTGTAAAAGTGTTAAAATAAATTTATATGACGTTTTCGGGATCCTAACAAATTTTTAGTACAGTTTTAAAATACAATGTCCTATTAGCTCTTTTATAACACATTTTTTATAAATGTTCTTTGAACACATCTTTTTAAAATAATGTCCTATGTGAAACTAATAGAATACTTTACTGTTAAGACGTACAAAAGCGTCCTTATGACAACATACTTAGATAGGACATACAACTGTTTTCTTCTATAAACTTAAGTTGTGTAAAATAGTCTGTAGGAGTTGTGAAGTCCTCTATGGATAGAGCTGTTTGTGTGGATTAATTTGCCTGAAACGTTTTTGTTTGAAAAGAATTTTTTATAGATGGAAGGAGTATTGTTTTTTAATTGGGAAGAGAAGACATGGAAAAACTTGACTTTCTGCATAAAGACCCCCTTAGAAGCTTACTTAATAAACCCCTTTCAATATCATTAAGTCACTATCAAAAAGTCATGTATGGTTGACCGAATAAGTTGTGAATCCCATTAAGCTCATTAAAAGCTGCTAACTAACATGCTGAAACATTTTTGGATTTCTATAAACCCGATTTTATTGTAGTGATCTTTTCCCATGCCACAAAATCCATTTGAAAAGCATAAAACAATAACTAATCATGTTGTCGTGTTTGGTACTTATATAGACCGTATTCGACTCCCCTAAGGGCGACGAACCGATTGCACTAAACCTTGGTTCAATGGGGAAAGGTGAAGCTTGGATCAATGGAAAAAGTATTGGAAGATTTTGGGTCTCGTTTAAGACTAATGTAGGCTCTCCTTCTCAGACATGGTACAATGTACCACGTTCATTCCTTATACCAACGGGGAACCTACTTGTTTTGTTCGAAGAAGAATATGGAAATCCGCTAAATATATCATTAGATACTGTTTCAATCAACAAAGTTTGTGGACATGTATCAGATTCACATCCCCCTCCTTTAAAATCATCGGAACCTCGAGTTCTACAGCTATGGTGTCCCCATCAACGAAATATCTCCAAGATTATATTCGCAAGTCATGGTAACCCTTTAGGGAACTGTGAAAGTTACTCCATTGGGAACTGTCATTCGGCTAGTTCGCAACAGACTGTGGAAAAGGTGAGCTTTTCAGCAATTTAATTTACTTTTATTGCACGGAATTGGTTTATAGAATGCCTGGAATGTCTAAGCTTCACTACAACAAAATCACGTTTCTAACAATGTTTAAGCGTCCTAATAGAACGATATATGATACTTAGGTGTGTAGGAAAAAACAATAAATTGTGATATCTAAAGATGTTATAATAACTTTATAGGACACTTTTAGACATCTTAACAACTTTTTAGGATATATTTAAGATAAAGCGTCCTATTAACTACAACTGTCCTACAAACACATTTTTTATAGGGCACTTCTTCAAAAACTGTCATAAAACAACTAATACTACACTTTATCCAAAAAAATGTCCTAAAAACGTTGTTATGTCACCTAAAAGCGTCCTATATATCTATTGGAAGACTTTTAGATAAAATATTTTTTGGTTTATTCTTACCTTAAGTCTCATAAAATATTTTATTAGGATGCTCAAACATTTTAGCGTCTTATAAAAATTAATTCATTATAGCGTGCCCAAATAGAATACTTTTTATGACTTAAGTTTATAGGACCAATCTAAAAAATGTCATATCTAAGAGTTTTTAAAATAGGTTTACAGGATGCATTTGGATGTTTCAACAAGTTTATTAGGACACTTATAATATAAAGTGTCGTATTAGCTATTTTATAGGACATATTTGAGAAATATCTTATAAACCCAAGTGTTGTATAAAATTACTAATAGAACACTTCATTATAGAACCGTCTTAATAAACTTGTTAAGATACCCTAAAAACGTCTTTAAACCTGTTGTAACACTTTTAGATAAGATGGTTTTTTTGTTTCGTCTTATAAACTTAAGTCCTATAAAGTATCTTACTAGTACACTTATACATTTTAGGCATCCTATAAACCTAATTTTCTTGTAATGTTTATAGATTTATACATACAACATGACTCAAACAATTTCGCAGGCTTGTTTGTGGAAAAGGGAATGCTCAATTTCTCATACAACAGAAAATTTTGGTGGAGACCCGTGTCCAGGAACCCTCAAGACGCTTTTGGTGGATGCGAAGTGTGAATAAGAACATTTTATGATGATTCTTCTGCGCATATAAGGAAATTAATAAATAAAAGATAAAATATATATGGTTTGCAAAGCTAATATACTACCGTTATCGAAGAAGTAGAGATTGTGATTATGAATGTCATGAGAAAAGCTTGAATGTATTAATAGTATTTATACACATCCTAAATTATGAATACAAGAAAATAATTGATTTAGAATTAAAATCAAAGGAAACAAATTAAAGGTTATTGACAACAAGAATCACAAGATTTGATATGGTCAATCTTTTTCTCTATCACGCGTCCGTGTTTGACGGCCAAAGGGAAAGCCCAATCTTGTCTAATAATGTTTGAAGACAAGCATGTGGAGGTCTTTGTCAAGGCATCGGTGGGCAAGTCATTATTGGTCACAGGCGTAACTCGTAAAACTCTAGCTTGAAGTCGTTTACGTATAAAGTGATAATCAACGACTCTAAGATGTTTCAGTTTTAAAACAAGGTTGACAATTATTTTGGATGCTCCAAGATTATCAAAATACTTTATTGGAGTGTTTGAATAGGACATTCTAATTTCACTTATGAGGTGGCTATCCCAATCTAGTTTTGTGGCTCTCTTAGCAACAAACAGGGTCGGCCCTGAGATTTTTGGTGCCCATGGCGAAAAGTCCAAATGATGCCCAATTAAAAACATCCAAATGCGGTAATTTACAATTGTCAAGCTTTTTCCTTCATAGACCAAGAGACACATTAGTGTTTTTTAGTACTTAAGGTATTTGCTTATAAAATTAGCTATTGCATGACTCCGTTAGTCCGTCATGTGTTTCATATAATAATATTTAGGGTCTTGACCAATGAAAATCATGAGTTTCATATGTAAAATTGCAAAGATTAGGGAGACCAATCAAGTGAATTAGCTATTGCACATTCAAGTGAGGGTAAATCATCACTTAACTACTGCACATTTATAGGTTTGTTCAACTATATTATAGCTACTGAAATTGTGTTAATACACATAAAAAACTAATGGGATTAGAACAAAAAGCGGTGGATGATAACTTGAATATTAATCAAGAATGAAGAACTAAAACTCCAGAGATAGGCTTGATTGATTCGATGAACAACTAGATCAATTAATAACAATAGTATTCATTTAACTTTAAACAAACATAAGAAGTATAGAACTTATGCCATGAACAACAAAACTTCAGTTGAAACCCATGAACAAAAAAACTTACTTGTGCAGTTGAAGAGTCAATCTAAGAGAAATCAACAACGCAAGCTTCTGATAGTTTCTGTAGCAAATTACTTTCCTCTACCCTTTTCCCGTACCTAGGCTGGGATTAAAGAAATAAGGAATATCAATCTTACTACCAGGGTATAGATAAGTTTGATGACATACACAACAACTTACCATGAAATGCATAATGAACCTATTGTCGACAAGAAACAAGTTTTTATGGTTTTGGCTCTTGCTATGTAATGATTAAAGTTTTAACATTTGGGTAAACCTAAACTAAACAAGATAAGTTAAATGACCCTAACCTAAACTAAACAATTAAACAAAATAACCCTAATCTAAACAAAATTATCAAATCTTCAAATAACAATCTAAATCATTAACATTATACTCGAGAAATGGTTGTCATTTGTTTCTAATTTCACAGTAAGTAAATAAGTAATTAGGTTTTGTAGTTCTKTTCATTATTAGGTTTTGCAATTTCACAGCTTCTGTAGTTTTGTTCATTATTAGGTTTTGCAATTTCACAACTAAATTAGAAACTTAAAAAATAAAATTAGTAAAGTAAATAAGTAATTAAAATATAAAATAACCCTAAGTTAGTAAGTTACTAAAGTCCCTACAGCTAACCTCACAAGTCTGTAGAGAGAGAGCGAGAGGCAGAGCTGCAGAGTCGCAGAGAGCAACGATCGAAGAGAGACGTAGGCAGGCAGCTGGCCAGCCGCAGACGAGAGAACCAGAGAGGGAAACCATAGACGAGAGAGGGCAGCCGCATGCGAGAACGAGATTGCAAGAGGCGAGAGTCAGGCAGAGAGCGAGAGCGAGACTGCGAGAGGCGAGAGGTGAGAGCGCGAGGCGAGAAGATGGACGTGACGGTAACTTATTTTAGGCCCAAACGAAAACTAAATCTATATATATACATTGGGCTTTCAAATTTTGATGCCCTTGGGCTTCACGCTTGTAACATCTGCCTTGAACAAACCCCAAATTACCAATTTTTGTAAAATCTCCAATATAATATAATTTATTGATTATTGGGACCAAAATTGATCCTAAATTATTCTAAAAGTTTAGTCAAAGCCATCTGAACCAAGGATGGAAAATCTGAAAATGCTGCTAAAAAGACAAAGCCTGGAGGAAGACCAGAGGCAATGGTCCAGAGGCTGCTGAAATGGCTAAGTCWGGAAGAAAACCAGAGGCCATGAAGGACCAGAGGTGAGACTATGAAGGACCAGAGGCAATGGTTGGACCAGAGGCAATGAAGGACCAGAGGCCATGAAGGACCAGAGGCCATGAAGGACCAGAGGCCATGAAAGACCAGAGTCCATGAAGGACCAGAGACATGAAGGACCAGAGGCCATGAAGGACCAGAGGCCATGAAGGACCAGAGGCCATGAAGGACCAAACCTTTGAAACCCACAGATCTGGCATAACATTAATTAACCTCAAAATATTGGATATTAATTTCTAGAAAAAAAAATCGAAATATCCGTTCTATTTTAGTGATAAAACCACCAAAAACACAATTCCAAATCGGATATAACRRATTTTTACTTACAACCCAAATTATGTAACCAAAAGAATACGGGACAAGACTATATATATAAGCTACTATTTACCCGAAAGCAAGATCAATATCTTCAAGTTCCCCGATAAATCTTCAAGTCAGACAACGGGTTCTTTCTATTTATCCGTCTTCTTTCCTGAGAAAGGTTGCCATTTAAATGGTAAGCCAACGCTTAGTGAGTTAAATAGTTAAGTATTACATATCAATATCGCACATRWTTATAAACATACATAATAAACTCTTATCAATAAAAGAGTTCAAGACATCATCCAGATATAAACAGAGACTTACAAGAAACCGAGTGAACCATTACGTACTGGATGCCAAGATCATAGGATTCCATATTCAAATCACCATATTATACCATACCATTGTTGCTCAATACAATAAGGAGACAGGTTCAACGACCAAATATATTCAACAACGTTAGAATACCAATAAATATCAAGAACCAAGAGATCAAATCGGTATACATAACGAAGACAGTGCATCACCCCGTCCTTCACCTCTCGGGCTCATGCCAAAGTCCGAGTCAGAATCATACATTACGGGAAACCTTGCACTACCCGCCTTCCTCTACCGGGTATGTGCCAAGGTYCCCTACTCATTGCTCTTCCTCCTCTTCGAGCAATGAGTATTCACAACCGCAGAAAGTCTCACCTGTCCAACCTGGGATTTTGACTTCGCCATCAACTTTCGGTGTACCACACGAAGTAGTACCCGTACTATGGCATACAATTCAAGGAATAAAACAATGAGTCTGGATCCAGAAAGCAAACCGATATACCGAGATAGTAATATGGAATTAACTCAAGAGACGGAATCAAAGATAAATCAAGATCGTGTGACTCCATTCAAGGCCAAAAATATTTATATGAAAATATATATGTTCAAATCAATATGTAACAAATAACTATATAACTCACCGGGCAACCGTATAATACCGAAAAACTCCGAATTGAGCTCACAAAGAAAGTCCAATCTACCACACTTAGATTTCTTCCAAAGTATCAAAACATGTCCTAATTACCCCTGGAGTAAATATACAAAATCTCATAAGCAATCAATGTAAGAAACCCATGATATACACATATCCTATTTGAACATTTTACCTAAAATTCTATGTACAGCTGCTGCATGCAGAACTGTTTTGCCCATTTTAA